TCAGTGGTTTTCAAATACTCTTGTCAATTGTTGTTTTGTTTTGTCATTTTTTAAAGCAATTGCACTCGCAACATGCAATCTATGCATGAATGCCTAATCAAAGTCAAAGCTCTTGTTCAATTATTAGCATTTTACACCTGCTTTTGAAGCGGAATGAGAAATTCTCATTTAATTTCTGCCTTTCTACCTCACTCAAATCTCTCCATAGACTCCAGGGTTGCACATCCTACATTTGTTGTAATCTGAAGCAGACTGAAAATGGTACACAAATAAAGTAACATTTTAGCTCGTAGTGCGGGTTAGCTCCAGAATGTTGTGAGATCCTTTGCAGAACATGCAAATATCTTTGCATGTTCTGTATGCAAACAAACAAACAAACAAACACAATGTATACAGAAGCACATAATCACATATGTGCATTTTCATATATCAAACATGAACAACGCTTGGCATCAGCTGATCCGGCGTCAAGCTTCACACGTTTCATAAAGACGAGCGCCATGAAAGATAACTGCAACCCTAACTACCAGCATTCTCCACAGTGCGGTGCGCGCTCTCCATTGGTCTGCATTCCTCTTTACCTGCATGTTAGCGGCATAAACCACCCTGTCCTTACCCTTTTGCTTGCAAATGCCAGTATTTGTGTTCATAGGTGTCACACGTTTTCCCCTCACCACAACATGACTGTCACGCTGGCTCAAACACATGCCAACATGAGTTGCATTTATCATTTTCAAAATGGTTCTCCCACTCTGCCTCTAGAATCAAATGTTGATGCAACAGAAAAACATAACGCATTTATACAAATATATGTATGAGGAACGAGAAAAACCCTTTCATTTCTTTAGAGCGACAGGGCAGTAAAGAAGCCTTCCACAAACACACCACCTTTCAGAACTCATAGGAAAACTAAGAATAGACCAAGGCCAGTCCAGCAATAATCTTTGGGGTGGCTGTAGCTCAGGTGGCAGAGCAGGTCAGCCACTAATCAGAAGGTCGGTGGTTCGATCCCAGGCTGCCTCCTGGCCATGCCAAATATCAAGGTAGTGGTCAGAGGGCCCGGTGGCGCCAGTGTCCGGCAGCTTTGCCTCTGTCAGTGC